GATTTAAAAGCTGACTCTATGATCTTATTTTCTATGGTATGCTATCTTATAAAGAAAAACTAATTATACACTAATTTTGGAATTTCTCATATTTTGAAAAATAAGGTGTAAACATTTTGAAAACACTCCCACTCACCTAACTATAACAGAACCACAATAAGAAACTTTCTCCATAAATCAGGCTGTAGGCAAACCTCTAGAGCATTTTCTTAATTAGTGACTATGGGGGGAGGGCAGGCTCATTGAGGGTGGGGCCTTCCCTGGGCAGGAGGTTCTGTGTTCTGTAAGAAAGCCGGCTGCCTGTAAATCAAATTTATTATGCTTAAGTATGTCCTGGTATCCCTGATTTCTCCAATACTCTTATCATGAAGAGGTGTTGGATTTGTCAAAGGCTTTTTCAGCATCTAATGAGATGATCATGTGGTTTCCTTCTTTCAGTTTGTTTATATGGTAGATTACATTGGCAGATTTCCATATGTTGAACCTTCCTTGCATCTCTGGGATGAAACCTATTTGATTATAGTGGATGATCTTTTTGATGTGCTCTTGGATTTGGTTTGTGAGAATTTTACTGAGTATTTTTGCATCTGTGTTCACGAGGGGGACTGGTGTGTAATTCTCTTTCTTTGTTGAGTCTTTGTATGGACACACTGAACCTGACAGAAGAAACAGTGGGGAACAGCCTTGACTGCACTGGCACAGGAGACAACTTCCTGAACAGAACACCAAAAGCACAAGCACTAAGATCAGCAATTAATAAATGGGACCTCATGAAACTGAAAAGTTTCTGTAAAGCAAAGGACACCATCCATGGACCAAAACAGCAGCCCACAGAATGGGAAGATTTTCACCAATCCACATATGACAGAGGGCTAGTATCCAAAATATATAAAGAACTAAAGACACTAGACATCAACAAACCAAATAATCCAATTAAACAATAGGGTACAGACCTAAACAGAGAACTCAAAATACAGGAATCTCAAATGAATGAGAAAAATTTAACACCCTTAGCCATCAGGGAAATGTAAATCAAAACGACTGTGACATACCATCTAACAACTGTCTGAATGTCTAAGACCAAAAAAACAAGTGACAGCTCATGCTGGGGAGGATGTGGAACAAGGAACACTCCTCCATTGCTGGTGGGAATGCAAACGTGTACAGCCACTTAGAATTCAATATGGCGGTTTCTCAGAAAATTGGGAAAAATCTATTTCAGGACCCAGCTACACCACTCCTGGGCATGTACTCAAAGGACATTCTATCCTGTCACAAGGACACTTGCTCAACTATGTTCATAGCAGCTTCATTTATAATAACCAGAAACTGGAAACAACCTAGATATCCCTCACTCAAAGAAGGGATAAAGAAAATGCAGTACATTTATACAATGGAGTATTCTCAACTGTTAAAAACAACAGGCATCAGGAAATTTGCAGACAAATGGACAGAACTAGAAAAAACATTATCCTGAGTGAAGTACCCAAGACCCAGAATGATAAACATGGTATGTACTCATTTATAATTGGATATTAGCTATAAAGTAAAAGATAGCCATGCTATAGTCCACAGACCCAGAGAGGCTAAGCCTACGGGCTGGGCAGAAGGGAAGAATCTCCCTAGGAAGGGGAAATAGAACAGATTTTACAGGTGAATTAGGGGCTGGTGGGGCTGGGAACAGGAGGGATTTGGTGGGTCAGGGGAGGGAGAAAATACTGAGAGTAACTATTGGAATAAGGGGCCATGTTGGGGTCAAGGTAGAAACCTGGTAAAACAGAAACTCCATGGAATCTACGAGAATAACCCTAGCAAAGACTTAGTAATAGGGGACACAGAGACTGAAATGGCCATATTCTGTAACTAGGAAGGGCCTCAGTGGAGACACCAATCCAGTCACACAACTTTCACCCTACAGTTTGTCCTGCCTGCAGAGTGTTCTGAGACCAGAGCTTAGCAGAATCCTCATCAAAGAGACCAGAGTGACTTCATCCAGTAACTGGGGAAGCAGATGCAGGGTCTCACAGCCAGAGCAGCATTATCAAAAAGGGTCATGGGCATTGTGAACAGCAATCAAACTGTTAGAGTTCATTTGGGCCACAGTGCCCGTGCTCTTGCCCACGTTAACCTCTGAGGAAGTTGCTTACTTAGCACACGTGAGACAAATAAGAAACTCAAGCGCTTGTTAAACATGGCTCAATATCTCTATCCATTAGAAATCAATGGGATATTTGTGCTGGTGATTATTATGACATCTAATCCTAAGTGAGCATTTAATTAGATGACTCAGAAACAAATGTAACTTCAGAGTAGCAGGACTCTCTATTAATTTTGTGCCATATTATTGCATAACAATGGCAACACATTCACTTACAAGAGCCCAAGTTCCTTCTTTCATATTATCAATAAAAGGCATATTTTTGAATTTTCCTTAACTGGTATAGAAATGTTAAGGGATAATAAGCTTCCACAGCCCATGCTGGTAAGTGCTGAGTGATAAAACTATGTTTGCCATACTTTTAATCATGTATAAGTTAGTTAAGGTAAACTTTACAACTGAGACACATTATTTATGAAATTAAGTTCATTGTCACCAACCTTCCCAAACTTGTGTTTTAGTGGAAGTCCAGCATTCTGAAATGCCAAAATAATATCAGGTTTGTAATCTTGTATAAAAATTCCTAGGTCGACATCTTTGCTATAAGGAATAATACTGCACTGCCGATAACATCCTAAAAAGGGGAGGAGGATAAAATATGTTTAAATTATATTTGGAAGGTTAGTTATTATCATCAACAAACTTTATAGTAATGGATATCATTTCCTAAGGTTATGGTTGGGGTTTTTTATCAAAATTATTTTTTAAAAGTTAAATCCCAAACTTAACCACTTGGTTACAGTAGTTACCTTGAAGAATCAATCTCCTTGCTTTTTTCCCTCCCCTTCCCTTTCCTCCCTTGTCCCCTCCCTTCCCTTCCTCTCTTTCTCCCTTTCTTACCCTGGCCTGAGTGCTCAGCTTCCTCAAAAGTTTGAATGAAGTCAGAAAATGGGGAATGGTGGCTGACACCTTTAGGCCAGCCTGTTATGGTCTACATAGTGAGTTTCAGAACAGCCAGGGATACACAGTGAGATCCTGCGTAAAAAAATTCAGGATACATCATAATTTCTGAGTAGATCATTAGCTTTAATAATGTATTAGTTGGTCCATTTACTTAAACAGTTGCTGTTCAGAGTGTTTAAACGCTAAAGTTTAATGATTGAGACTGCTTTAAGATGTGTTAAGTATATTTAATTCTGGGCAGAGACAGACAGGCAAGGCGACAGAGGCAGGCAGAGGCAGGTAGGCCCAGCGGTGGTGGCCCACAGAGGAAGGTAGGCCAGGTGGCTGCCCGCAGAGGCAGGCAGGCACAGCAGAGGCAGGCAGGCCCTGCGGGCGGCGGCCAAAACACAGTTGCAATAAAGACCAGAAACTGAGCTATTACCCACTGAAGAGTTAGTGAAAAGAAGCTCTTAATCAAGAGCCTGGAACAGAGACGCCTTTAATCCCAACACCCAGGGAAGAAGCTATCTCCGTGGGACGGAACCAGACGAATCTGAACACTTCGTCTGAGGACAACCCAGGGCCCAGCTGCTGATCCTGCGAAACCCAACAACTTGGAGGCGTTGGTGAGACTACCCTGCTCAGCTGAAATCCATCTGGGAGAGGATTCAGATCCCTACAGTTTGAAGTCTGAGGAAACAAGATCAGCTGAGGAGTTGACGAATGAGCAAAACATGACCTGAGAACACAGAAGAAGGCACAGCCCAGCCACCAAACCACAGCCCAGCCACCAAACCAGATCACCAGAATCATAAGTATATACTTCACCGACTGAAATCAGCTGCTCCTGAAGAAACAGCCCAACAGCACCAATTTAGCCAAGAACTCCTAGTGAACCAAGACTAAAAATTAGAACAAGAGAGGCACTCTCAGACACAGACACCGCCTGCACCGAGCACAGGAAGAGATGAGCAGACACCAGTGCAAAACATAAAGGCAACAACATAAAGACCTATATGGCAACATCAGAACCTAGTGATTCTATACCTGCAAGACCTGAACACACCAAGACAGAAGAAACAGAAGAAATCAATCCTAAAAATGACTTTAAGGAGATGATAGAGACCCTTAAAGAAGAAATAAAAAATTCCCTGACAGAGGAAATTAAAAACTCCATTAAAGAGGAAGTAAAAAATTCCTTTAACGAAATGGAAGAAAAAAAGAACAAAAAATGGGAAGAAATAAAAGAAAGCCAAGAAAAAGCAATTAAACAGATGAAAGAAACATTCCAAGATCTGAAAAATGAATTTGAGACAATAAAGAAAACACATGCTGAGGGAATGCTGGAAATAGAAAT